GTCCAGATTAACCTAAGATGGAACGGCGTCGTTTTGTGGTGTAACGGGGTTGGACCGGGTGGACTTTTGGATTTGGGCCGATTTTGGACTGGTTTTTTTTGGGAGGGATTTTGTTTTTGGGCTGGTGTTATTAAAAAATTGGCCCATATTTGTATAACCAATTAAATCTCTTTAAACTCCTCTCTTTTCAATTTTTCTCTTTTTTTTTCCTTTTTATTATATATTTTCAGATTTTGTGAAAATGCAAAATTAAAAAAAAGACCTGATTTATTCCCAAAATTAAACTAATTATTTCCTCAAAAGTGATTAAGTCCTAATTTAAAGGAAACTCATGACAAATTCAAAAATTACTAGTTAAAAATGCAAAATGAACTATTTTGTTATTTTCTTCTTTGTAAAGTAACTTAATTACTAATTAATGCTAAAATGTGAAATTAAGCCCTAAATGCACATGCCAAGCATATTTTTTGTTTTTCATTAATAGAAATGCACAAACAAAAATGCAAACAATTAACATAAAATGTCACAAAAATCCACAAAATTGCACAATAATGAAAGAAATCAGTTTGTTTGAATTTCTGGGAGTAATTCATGTAGGGCAAAAATCACGTGCTCACACCGAGCTCTCAATCAATTTTTGGAGTTATGAACTCAAACCCTCGATTTCAAATAAAGGGAAAAGGTTAGGAATTTAAGACAAAAGGGCCGAAGCCCATAATAACACATCCACCCCAACTTTTTAAAAAAAGGGTTAGGGAAGGGAACGAAGTAGAAGCTTCAAAAACGAAAAAATACAAAAGGAGAGAAGGAAAGAAAGAGAAAAGAAAAAAAGAGAGGAGTAAGAAGAAAGCTTTGGACAAAGGCTTTAAGAAGAACTGGGAGTTGAAATTGAAAGTATAAAGTTCTCCTTCGGCTCAAGAGGTTAACCTTCTTCTTATTAGTTGAATTATTTCACTACATCTACGCGATTTCATGTACTACAAAAGAATTCAATATCAGTTTTTTTAATAAATAAATAAATAAATAATTACTATGGACGGTAAGACTATAAAGGTCTGGTTTAAGAACTGATAGGTCTACTTTTGGAGGAATAAAGTATACTAAATAGTTTGAAAGTCGTAGATTTTGGACTAGTTTTATGAGTAAATACAAATCCATAAATTAAGACTCAAACATGAACCTCGATGATTGGATATTCTAAATTAGCTATGAATTAGCCTAAACAAGAAAATTAACATGAGATCAATATTATGTAACTATAGATTGATTGCAGGAATTTGTACGAATCGCTCGAGGTGAAGCATTTGGTATTTCTGCACGAGTACTGTGAGTAGTGAACTTACCGCAATTTGTGTTTTTATAACTTGCATGATTTACACATTATTCTTAATATGAATATGTTACCGATTATTTTGAGTTGCATGTGGGACAAGTCTTTTACTCGATATGATACCGAAATAGTTATTTGAGATGATTACTGTTGTCTTAAATATTTCCGTTGTCACTAGATCTGTTTTACCGTTACTTGAATTTACTGTTATCGAAATGAAATATGATTTGATAAGAACCGAAATGCCTTATATTGTTTTAAAATATTTTCTACAAGTATATACGAATTACAAAGACAAGTATAATTGGGAGTAGACATTGAAGGATCCCGTAGCTAACGGCGGGTTCGTTAGACCTGGTGCACCTTGTAATTGCCGATTATCATTACAACCCTCGCTAGTGGGAAGGTAGAACTAGCATACCGTTAGTGATTTCCCTCGAGTAGGGACTACCGTTAGAGCGCACAGGTTGATAGTTCTTCGTGAGCCTCGCACTTATTCGCGTAGGCGGAGATTTATTATTGGTACGTTCTTTTCTTTGAACTCTTAGAGTCGCTCCATAGTCATCCTTTTAGTGTCGTGAGTATTCATTTATTGATATGGACTAGTTACTAGTATTATACTTTCTTTCCATATTTTTAGAGTTGGTTTTGGTTTTATTTGTTGAGGAGGTTGGTAATAATGGTGGAAACCCGTTTGTGGTTAGTTGATGAAGATTGTGACTGACTTAGGTGTATATTGGTTGGTTGTTACTTGTTTTTAAGATAGGAAACTTTTTTGGATAGTCCAAAAACAAGGGAAACTTTGTTCGATTTTCTGTAAAATACCGATGAGGCTTACTTAAGAGCACTTGCTCCTAAGTGCAGGTCATGATCCTAGATTGGGTTGTGACAGTTATAGACAAAACGAAGGCCTTGATTACTTTGAAACTTACTCGCCAGTAACGAGGATAACATCTATTAGGGTGTTAGTGGTACTGACGGCCATGTATGGTCTTGAAATCCATCAAATGGATGTTAAAATAACTTTCTAAAATGGAGAACTAGAGGGAGATATACTAAATGTAGTAGAAAATCATCCTCCAATAGGTTCCATCAAACTTTAGATAAGAGAGTTTAGCTACTCATAAATACTACAATAATCAACATAATGTTTAAAGACATGGAACTACAAAATAAAGAGATAAAGGAAGGAAAAACTGGTTTGATTCTTGCTCCACAGTGCTTTGCATCCTTTTTCTTCTCCAAAATCATGTCCAACCCTAGAACAACTCGTTTGGGGAGTACTTATGTCAATCCCCTGGTCCAAATCCGATTAGGGGTCTTTTAACCCGCGACTTTTAATTACCGTGCTACAAACCTCGCGAAGCCTGGTCTATAGCACGGTCAACCTGGCTATAGACCTCGCGAAGCCTGGTCTATAGCGCGGTCGAAACCTTGCGAAGCCTGGTCTATATCTCGGTCAGCCTAGCTATAGACCTCGCAAAGCCTGGTCTATAGCACGGTCAACCTGGCTATAGACCTCGCAAAGCGTGGTCTGTAGCACGGTTTGGATAATTGATGCTTTTGTACTCTTTTCTTGTATTTTTTGTCCTCTTTTTGTGCAACTTTCATTTAACGATTTCTTTCGATGTTCCTACACATAAAACAACACAATTTAGCTCAAATATCGCACAATAACGCATTAGACCAACAAAATATAGGGAAAGTAATGTGATAAAAGCATAGCATATTGGCCTCACATCACCACCCCACACTTAAACGTTGCTCGTCCTCGAGTCAAGCACCAATTCCTAGAGCACTTTTATTCTCTTTTAGCATATTTGAAGCACACCATACCTATGACTATGGTTGATAGCAACAATTGAACTTTAGCATATGCCTTCAAACTTCCCTTCACTTTCTGCCATACTTCAAATCTTTATTCAACAAAAAAGATAACATGTTTCTAACAATTCTATCCTCACAAACCGACCCAATATCACAATTCATTCATGGCTTTAACACTTCATAGAGAAATCTAATAACGTCACCTATCCCTTGCGAAATCACGCGCCCTCACAACAAGAACAAGAGAGTAAGTTGAATCCACACATTCGAATTAAATTCTCAAAAATATTTTAAGGATTCTCATATATTAAAGAAAGTACTCACTCTCACAAAGAAGTCACGTGCATGTACAAAGTACCATAGGCTTGCCCATTAATATAAACCTCTACTAATATAGGCTTTCTCGGTCTAAAATCACTTAGGACTTTTTATGGTTGTAATGTTGGTTTAAGGACGGGTAGGATAAATTTAGGAATAGTGACTAACCCTCCTAAACACTTTCACATCACATAATTAACTTTAAGCGCATTTTTCTTAAACCCAACTGCATTTTCACAAATAATATCGTCCCCAAAGTATATCCTCTTTCTTTAAGCACTACTTTAATTCACACCCACTGGCAAGAACAAGATTACTATTTTTTTTAAGTTTCTGCTGGTGGTGTATATTTTCTTTTACAAAATAAATGCACCCTTCTTTCTGTCATTGGTTTCACTCGAAAGTCACCCCACACTTAGTCCTTACTTCTTCTAGTACTCACTTCACAACTAAAGTGCTTTACGAGGTACAAGGATCAAAATAATGAAAATTAAGAACAAATGGGTATAGGCTTGTAATGTGCTTGCCTAAAAAAAGTTTATAGGCTTAAAAGGGTTGACTAGGTATAAGTTTTATTTGTGTTAGACAGTAAGTTCAAAAAGAGCAAAGAAAGTCTAAAATTATTTTTCAAACCGAGCAAAACCTAAAATTTCGCTTCAACTCACATACCGGGCAAGTTCTAGACTCTAATGAAATGACACGGACTATAAAACTTCTCACCACACATGGCACATGACTGACCAAGGACAGTTCCATTTCTATTCTCAAACAATTGCAAGTATTCACAGAGCCATAAAATATTAAGCATCAAGCCCAAAGTGACACAAGCCAAGAAAACGAGATATAGGCGTCACTAAACATGTTATTACTCAACAAGGCATAATAAATATTTTCAAACCATAGGGAAGGTACTACACATGCTAGAGCCTAAATATGCTACTATCAAACTAGTCAAAGACGCCTAGCAATTCTTTTTTTTTTTCCATTCTTTTATTCCCTAAATTCTATTCTAATATAAAAACAAAACAAAAACTACAACCCAGTTCAACTACATCCCGTGAAAAGAACCGAGGTACAAAGAAAAACCATGAGGGATTATTACTGTAAGCACGTGATTTTTGCCCTATACAAAATACTCCTACAAATTTCAAGAAAATAGATTTTTTCTAATTATTTACCATTTTATAGGATTTTGTAGATTTTTTATCTTGTGCACGTTTAAGTCATAAAAAATACCAAAAATATCATGCATGACATTTAGGCCTTACTTTTATATTTTTAGGATTAATCGATAGTTACTTGTTTTATAAAAATTAAAAATCACAAAAAAAATGCTTTATTTTACACCTTTTCTTTTTATTGATTTTTCTCTTTTAATTTAGGATTAAGTAGATTTTATAATTTTATAATTAGTATAATCTTATATTTTTAGGATTTTTAATTCTAGGACTTTTAATAAAAAAAAAGATAGATAAAAAGAAAATTGAGAATAAAAAAAAGAAGAATTGAAGAACCTTTACTTTGAAAGAGCGCCCTGCTCATCTTCTTCTTCTTCACATAAACGCACACACATAGAAAGAATAGAAGGGAGAGATTGGATTTCAAAAAGGAAAAGAAAAAAAAAATTCTCCCCTATTTCGTTACTTGTTTGCTTCAAATTAGAGCCAATCAATGATGCCCCTTATTTTGATCTTCAACAAGCGAAGATACAGTCCAAACTAAGTCAAGTTGATGGAGTTTCGAGGTTCCGGCGAGGTCACCTTTAGATCCGGTCATTGTTCAGTTTGTTCACGCCACAATTCCGATTCTGGGTTTGCATCATTAATACAAAGGAAATCACTGATTTAGTTGCTGTTATCTGCTGAAATTTTGGGCTGAGCTTCATTCAATTTGGTCTCGACTTTATTCACTTCTATTCAAGTTTTCTGGTTCAACCAGTTTCAGATCTGGGTTTGGTTTGGTTTAGCTGATTTTCCTTGCAAATGAGGTACACACATGGCGATCTCTGTATTCCTGTTTGATTTTACATGAATAACTGATTGAAACTATCTTTGAATTTTGTGTATGAATCCTGTTAAATTCAGTTACTGGGTTTATGAGTTTGGTAATGTTTCTGGATGCTATGTTTGTCTCATTTGAGATAATTTATTTAATTTCAGCTATGCAAATTCTCTATGCATCATGAAACCACATTTATGGATTGCTGCTGGCTAATTGTATGCATAGTTGAAGTTAAAAAGGCCCCTCACCAGTTTGGACACTTTCTCTAGTTTAATTTAGTATAGAAAAAGAGTGTAATTAAAAGAGATGCTACATTTCAATTTAGTTTGTTTCTTTCTGCCATAATTCCGATTCTGGATAATGTGTGTTCGAAGCTTTGGTTTAATTTTGGTTCATCTTTGTTCCTTTGTGTTGATGGATGAAAACTATATGGCATATTCAGTTTGTGAACCATTGAGCCTACCGTTCTTATTTCTCAATCTGGAAAGAGTGCAGATTTCATGTTCGATGAATTGTCTAAATATGACGTAGTATCTGCTATAGCTTTGGTTAGCTGTTTTTCTGGACGGAATTAACACAAGAAAACAAAATGAAATAATTCCACTAACTCTTCCAAAGAGCTGTCCAAATACTATAGAAGAAAGGATTCAACTTAGCAATTATGTAAATGCTAAAACAATACAGCACTGGAGCTTGATAAAATGCTAAGACCGCATAGCGTGAGGTGTAGCTTGTTATTAGTGTTCTTTTGCAATTAATTATGGTGTTTTGGTACATTTCTTAATTATATGTTTTTTTTTGCTTAGGCTATATTGGTATTGTAGTGATTTGAAGTATTTTTTTGCCGAATCTTATTGGATAGAACAAATTTTGGAATTAAAGTAAATTGGCTTTTGCGTTAAGAAAGGGTGGATACATTTGTTGCTTTTTGATTGCAAATAGTTGCATCCTACACTTTTCCGCAAATAAACCCCTAAGCCCATGACCCTCAAAAGTTTAGTTGAATATCCTTTAAAAAATTAAATCGAGATGCGCCGCGCCAAATAAAAACCACAAATTGCGTGGCCCTCTTTAATTACATTCATTAAAATATTTAGAACTTGGGTTGTGCCATTTAGCGAATTTTCATGGCCTCGCAAAGTTAAAAACGCGTTAGTTGCTTTAGGCGCGTTATTTAATAATACTACCTTCCTAAACTCGGGTGTGCATTTCATGTGACCCAAATCCAAATCCTAAAACGTTGAATAAAATGTGTTTTAGATTGCGGGTGCATTTCATGTGACGCGATCCAAAGACATATTTTAGACGACGTTCAATCTTCTTTAAAATTAATTAAAAGCGGTAAATAATTTTAAAATTGCACTATAGGTTGAAACATGTATAAAAATCAGATTTTAGCCAATTATAATAGTTTAAGCGACCGTGCTAGAACCACGGGATTCGGGGGTGCCTAACACCTTCCCTCGGATCAACAGAATTCCTTATTCAGAATTTCTGGTTCGCAGACTCCACTCGGGAAGTCGAAATTTCCTCGATTTGGGATTCAAGATAAACCGGTGACTTGGGACACCAAAAGCCAAACCTATCCCAAGTGGCGACTCTGAATTGAATAAATAATCTCATTTCGAATAATGTCACTTTAAATGGAAAAACTCCCTTATACATTATCCTTCGGGGTATGTGTGTAAAAAAGGAGGTGTGACAATTACTACCTAAAATAATAAAATGGCATATTATTTTTTTGGGTCTTTCTGTTTTTCATTTTCTTTTTGTTAGACTTTAGTCCCTCAACAAACAACCTAGGAGATCCATCATCGGGAAAAGTTCAATCATTTCATTTTTTTTGTTTAAGAGGTTAACTATTAAAGCAATCTTAAAAACTAAAGATTAAAGTTAGAGTACTAAACTAATTTATTTTTTTATGCTAATATAGAAAAGAAGAAGCTAAAAAAAATAAAATAAGAAATAATTAGTTTATCTAATATTTACACGTCACAGAGAATATATAACCTCCCACCCCACAGTTAATTCATGCAATGTCCTTAGTGCATCTATAGATCCATAAAAAACACAAGTAAGGTGGTTGGCAAAACTCCCTGATTAGTATCATCATCGCCTTCATCTTCGAAGACCCCATCTGCAGCTGTCCACTCTTCATCCTTTGCTCCCTCATCAACATCATCCTTCTCCTCCTCTTAGAGGTATTGAATCAATTCAAAATATGGTCTTGCGACTCCATACTAAAGAGTTCATCATATGATGTTCAATAATTTTGAGGCTACTAAGACTTTACCTCTGTATTTTAGCATGAGATGTCTACTACAATTGCAATGCATATAGCTACCTATGAGCCACCCCCACACTTAAAATTTCAAGTGGTGCGAGGCGACATAGCACTAGTATTACAATCCCGGGGACTAAAACTCCAATTGGGACAAAGAATGCATTTGAGGCATTTTTGTCAAACACTTAGCATGCACTAGTGCCATGGAAATGCTTGTAGGAATGAGGGATTGCCTCATCCTCTCAAATCAGCTTGGGAATTTCGTTCTACCACCTTTGTAAACAACAACAATACCATTCCTATGGGGTTTATGGGCTTAGGACAAACAAGAACATTGTTAGTTTGTTTCTATGAAGAACATATCTAAAAGTTGTCCAAATTCATTACTACACCCAATTTGAAATTTGACAAAGAAAAGAGTTAGAAACATACCTTATATGCTTAGGAGGGGGGTTTTCTCTTCAATTGATGTTTCTAGTGAGTGATGAATGAATGTCTTCACTGGAGTTTGTGTGTGAGGGGAAGGGGAAAATAGGACGACAATGTTATGTTTTAACTAAGGTGGGTGGGTGTTTATGTGGTGTTTTAATAGAAATAAGTTAGAAGAAAAAAAAGAAAAAAAATAGAATATACGTCGTTGAACCTTACCTGGCGTCGCGAGGTATGCTTCTAGGTCCGTTGTGCATTAGGTTGGGCACCATGAGGTACGCAACGATGTCTATAGCATACTAATATGATTTTTATTTCGTGTTGTGGACGACTCCAAGCTCTATGACCTCCTAGCTTGCTCCAGTACCTATTCAAACACCAGGACTTAACTAAAAACTTGTTAGTGCCTAAAAACAAAAACAAAATTCTAGTTGAGATAAAATAAATTATGAATTGGTTTGCCTACCAACGAGCGCATTAGTTAACGTCACAACATGAAGCGAATCAACTTTACCACTTTACGCTCCACTTGGAAGATATTTATTGGGCACCTAATTTGGAATCAAGTTTGTGACCACGAGCGACGGGGGTGGTAAGTAAATCATCAAGCCAAACATCATTTTCTTCGTTTTGAATTTTTGTGCTCTCTTTTGAGGGATGTTATTTTGCGTTCCTGAATATGCAAATTGTAGGATGTATGACTTTTGTCTTTCTTCTTTTCACTCCCATATGGACTCACACGGCTCAATTCCCATATTACCATGAAATTTCAAAGTTGAAAATGCTTAAAATGTGAAATCAAGCCTTCAAATTGCCACTTTTTCCGGATTTTGACATCCGCTTTTTCCCCCGAACTAGAGTCATTTTCAACCATCTTTTCAACTACATCGGTTGACTCTAATTCCATATTTTTCTTGGCATCACCAACAAGCAAGGGGTCGGTTGGCGGATGTTCACTTCTTGATTCCTCGTAATAGGACTTTTCTTGAACTCTTTCCATACTCTCAAGTTGGTGAGCATAGTGAGCCTCTACCAATCTTTTCATTTGATCTTTCAAAGTGCGGATATTCTCATCATTTGGAGTTAATACTTGTTTCAAGTCCTCGAGTGTCAAGTTGTGCTTCTCCTCATTTTCAATAATGGCCTCCAACATGAGCATCATCCTCTCATTTTGAGCATTTGAGAGTAAATCTTGGTTTTGAACAAGTGCCAAAGAAGAATTTTCGGCTTCAACCTCTAAGGAAGGTTCTTGGCTATCATCCACTTCTGAGGCTTTTTGGACCTCTAAAGCTTCAAGCATTTCTCCCATTTGTAAGTTTAACCTTTCAAGTGCCAAATCATCTTGGAGACTATTTTCCAAAAGCTCCTCCAAGGCCTTTTGCTCTTTGTTTCCTCCTTCAAGTAGGCATCCACCATGAGTTTGAACTTTCCGTTTTGACCATGCTCAATTTCATCCACTTCCATATCCCTATAATTATCATCACAAAAAGTAAAATCATCATAGCGGGGGTTCGAGGAAGGGAAGGACAAATAAGCATAATTAGTCCAATGACCATTTTGACTACCACACTTATCACAAATACTCCACTCATGGGTTTGATAGTTTGCGCACAATCCGCCCCTAGGAGAATTAAAATAATTTTACCACAAGTGTGGTCCTCCACAATAAGGGCAAGAGTCATCAAAGTATGAACAACTACCATCCGACCAATTTTTATCATATGATGCCATTTTCTCAAAAACTAAGAAAATCAACAAATAAACAATTAAGAAGATAAACAAAGATAAGAAAATAATTACACAAATATTTACAAGTTTGGACCAAAGTACGTAATTACAGAAATATTCACAAACGTTAGAATTTCAATATAATGAATTTAAAATGAAGAAAATTGACTAAACTAAGAATCCTAGCAATTCTTCTAGCTATACTTAATAACACCATTAAATTCTCCGGCAACGGCGCCAAAATTTGATTATGCCCAACTATGCCTCCTAAGAGGTCTAGCGGTCATTGCAAATATAATCCGGTTTACAAGTCCGGAGTCGAATCCCATAGGGAAATAACATACTAATTACAAACCAATAGTTCACGAATTCAAGTAATTAACCTTCACAAATATTATAGAACGATTTGAGAGTTTACTAACTAAGATCAAGGTATAGTAATTCATAACTAACAAAGCATATATTATAGACAAGATTTGGAAAAGTCTAAGGTTATGATTTCCCCTATTGTTAGAATCTTCTTCGCTATGTTTCCTATAAATTGGCCTAAATATTCTCTCCCAATCGCGGGTACTTTGAGTGTCGTAGCTCTCTCTCGAGCAACTACCACAATTTACTAGACGTATTCTCTCGAAATGCGCTAGCTGGCACTAAATCACCACTCACTATGATCGCACTAAAGCTTCGTTATCTCTAATCCCACCTTAAACCTTCCGTATTGATTTCTCAAATACGTTCGGAGTGGTGTTGTTTAAAAACTACCTAAATGTGCACTCTCTCTCGAGAAATATACACACTAAATAGCCATAGTTAATTGAGAGATCTTCAATTAACAACAATGAAAATATAGTTGAACAAGTAGAGAAAAATCAAAAGCAAATCTATATTAAATATAATAGAAAATCATCCTCCAATAGGTTCCATCAAACTTTAGATAAGAGAGTTTAGCTACTGATAAATACTACAACAATCAACATAATGTTTAAAGACATGAAACTACAAAATAAAGATATAAAGGAAGGAAAAACTAGTTTGATTCTTGCTCCACACTGCTTTGCAGCCTTTTTCTTCTCCAAAATCATGTCCAACGCTAGAATAACTCATTTGGGAGTATTTATGTCAATCCCCCGGTCCAAATCCGAGGCGACTTTTAATTACCGTGCTATAGACCTCGCGAAGCCTGGTCTGTAGCGCGGTCAACCTGGTTATAGACCTCGCGAAACCTGGTCTATAGCGCGGTTGAAACCTCGCGAAGCCTGGTTTATAGCGCGGTCAACCTAGCTATAGACCTTGTAAAGCCTGATCTACAGCTCGGTCAACCTGGCTATAGACCTCGCGAAGCCTGGTCTATAGCACGGTCAGCCTAGCTATAGACCTCGCAAAACCTGGTTTGTAGCACGGTTTGGATAACTGATGCTTTTGTGTTATTTTCTTGTATTTTTTGTCCTCTTTTTGTGCAACTTTTATTTGACGGTTCCTTCCGATGTTCCTACACATAAAATAACATAATTTAGCTCAAATGTCGCACAATAGCTCATTAGACCAACAAAATTTAGGGCAAGTAATGTGCTAAAAGCATAGCATTTTGGCCTCACGTCACCCAATCGTGTGGGGGATTGTTGGTATTAAAGATTGGTGAATGAGAAATGGAGGGAAGAAAGTGAAGGGAAAGTGAGCTCATTTTTGCTTTGGAAAGAGCAAGTGTCCCTCATTGGTGGTGGAAAAAAAGTGAATGTGCTTATATTGAGAAAGCATTTCTCTTAGTGTTAAATGGGTTGGAAAGTAAGTAAGCCTCGCGCCATCGTCATCGCTCGCTCGGCTTGGCTTTGGCTTCGGCTTCGGCTTCGGATTTGGTCAAAGATTGATTGATTAATCTTTTTGGACAAAATTTCTTTAATTATTTAATAAAATATTAATTAAATTAGCCAAATATCCAACCCGAGCCGGATCCGTGCGAGACCCGATTCACTTTCTTCCTGAATTTTTATTTAAATTTTCCTCCCATTTTTAAGTGACTGAAATAGTACTTCCATTGGCTATAAATTCGTTCGATTCCTCAGTTTTTTCATTACGAATTTTCTGAACTTCAAGACTTCTTCTTCTTCTGCACAAATCTAATCCAGTGTGATTTACTACCATAGAGTGGTTCGCTGACACCATAGTTTTTGGTACCAATACACTGGTGAGTTAAATTGTTCTATCCTGGGAGGATAATATTTCAGCACCTCGGGTACTTGAGGGGAATAATTTCCTTAAGGATACATTGTGCATTCAGTGGGCTCGATTTATTCCGATATTTTAGATATTATTTCGACATTTTGTTGCTTGCGAACTTTCAGTTTCTGTTTTCTGTTTCATAAAGTTTACTATTCTGTTATTTATTATAGTATTACAGATGGGCTAACAGGCACTTCATTCAATTCTTTCACCATTTCATAAACTTTCTTGTTATCTGGTAAAATGATCTTTATGCATAAAACTTTATTCATCATTCACAATCAACCTCCGGTTATGAAATCCACCTTCCATGCATGTACAAAGAGACATATTAATAACAAACTATTAGCATAGTCATCTGGTCACTAAGGTAGCTCATAGCATGAAATTCCAATCCAAATCAACCATTATTTGATAGCACATAATGTGAAACATCATAGACAATATTATACAAGCTGTTGAATGTTATTAAAATGGCGATACTCGTGATCATAATAAGCTTGAAGTATCAAAGCAAGAAATACGTTGTCTCTTGTTCGGATAGGTTGAATATTCTGGAAATGCAGAAACTTTATCCAGGACAGAACTAAAAGCCTGTCGAGCAGAAGTTAAGAGAATTTCCCGAACCTCAATATTGGCATATCCTCCATCGATCACATTCGTGAAGACAAATATGTTCTTTACTCGACTTCCTAAGGTTGATATTTCTGACTTCACCAAATTTACGTGAAGGGAATTGATAACTTCTCTTAAATCTGATAAAAGCTCAGGCCTGTATTCACAACAAATGGATGCCCTAAAAAGACATGTTCCATCTCCTGCATTTTCAGCAATTGTTTCTACTCTTATTTCATCAGAGTCCAATGGAATGAAGAAACTTTCACTAACATGAGTTGCAGTTTCCTTCAATTGTTTCACTTGACATATTACTTCAGCTAGCAATGCTGCTTTGTCCATCTAAAGTAAAAGTTCCAATCTTTAGTTGAAGCTCAAAAAGATGTATAAATCATCGACAATTTTCACTACACAAGTAAATTAGAAAACCTAACAATTTTTTAGCTTTTCATTTTACTTAAATTTTTGGTCGTTCCAACAGCTTTATCGTTTTCACTCGGTTTATTAAAGTGCTAGGGTAAAATTTACTTAGAACTTTGGCTTTTTGTTATGAGACTGCAATTCAGAAATAGTTATAGTGGCTGGTTCTTTCTGGAACAATTAATACGACATGGAAATGATCTTCTTAATAGAAAATAAGTATTTAAGTCAAAAGGTTTGAGCTAAGGTCATCTTGTCAGTTTTGCTCCAAGTCCTAACTGCAATATAGTATAACTAATTAATTGGCGAACCAAGTCAAAAGATGACCAAGAGACAGAGTCCTAACTACAATAATATAACTAATTAATTGAACAAATCAAAACGTGTTGGCATAGATAAACACATAGAGGTCAGCAGCCGACATTGTAGTTAGGACTGACAAATACGTAAAATTTAAATCAGCCGACAAACAGCCAGAGAGTTTAGTTTGGTGATGAAACTCTGAATTCTAATACAATTAAGACATGTAATATCAATACAAGTTTCGAAAAAAAGTTTGACCTTTATTCCAGAAACATTTACATTGATGAAAGGACCATATCCAACCAAAAAAATGTTGAATTTCACATAGCACAACAAAGGGGGAAGGAAACAGAAAGAAGCAAATGAATAATAACTGCACATCCATATAAATTTTGAGAGGGTAGTCACACGCACATAAATGAAACAAGTAGGAAAAAAGCCGATTTATCTTTTGATCACTAGGTAGAAGCGCGGATCGAGGATTTGAACTTTATGGGTTCAAATTCAAAATTCTACCGTATCTCTATTTTTGCACTTATTCAACTGGATTTTTAACATCTATACAGGGCCTAAGCCAAAGTTACTGGGTTCAAATGAACCCGTAACGTCTTCATTGGCTCCGCCCCTGTCACTAGGAACATCTTGTCAATAGAAAACAGAGTAATGTGGTTTAAGCCGTCAAGATTTAAGCACCCAAGATGACGTTCGCTTCTAATTCTGCTCTATATGTGAGAGCTTGGGAATACAATTAACTTGGTATGTTACAATTCAAACAAGGTTAACCATTGAATTTGCTTGATTTAGTAAATGAAATAACAGTAAATCTTTCAATAATTCACGACTAAAGAACAATTTAAAGAATTTTTACACTATTAAGCACCTAAGTGATAACTAGCAACGTCCATAAAACATGAGATTAGTAACCTAAAAAATAAGACATGTTACCTGATAGTAGAGACATTTTCTACATCTTTTATGAGGTGCAACATAAGAACCAAATTTCAGCTAAGTAAGGTGTACGCTTCATGCACCAAACAAGTAATCTAACACCTCAGTTACTACTATCATTCTTACTCTCTTTTATCAACAAAAATGGAGAACTTACTTTGTCAGAGGATGGCACAAGATTGCGAAGTGTGGCCAAATGAGCATTAATCCTCTCCCTTCTCCGTCTCTCTGCCTCGCTATGGCTCTTCAATGCAGCAATACTTTTTCCCTCTGATTTTCCAGTTTTCTTCCCAACTCTTCCACTAGCCTTCACCAATTCACCCTTCTCACTATCCAACACCAGACTTTGTGAAACCCCTTTTGCCTCATTCTCATAAAATCCACCTAAATTCCCAGAAATTTGACAGTTCATTCTAACAAATTAATGCACACCAATACAATCCCTTTATATCTTTTCTTGTAGTTTATTATTGACTATTGCAAACCATTTCGCTATATTTCACATATCAAACAACAAGACTCAACAAACCTTAAATTATTAAAGCAAAGATTTTTAACCACTAGGATTCAGTAACAAATTTGAAAGTACCATGATCTTTTAATACAAAATAAAAATGCAGAAAGATCTAAGGGTCGGCTCCAGGAGGTCGAGTTGTAGGAGCAAACCAGAAAGAGATCATTCGAGGGGCAATCTTGAAATATGAGCAAATCTTGACGGCAGACAAAGTGGTGGTTTTTGTGATAGTTGTGAACATAACTGCCATAGAAGAGGTAAAGGAAAAAGATAAAAATGTGAAAGTTTTAAACAAATTATGGGGAAGACAAAAACTAGTAAGAAAACATCCACATTTTCTTCCTAATGGTCAGCATCTCGATGAATATGAGGTTGACCCTGTTGAGGAAATCGATGAATATAACAAAGTTAACAAATCGAAACCCCAGATAAAAAGAAACAAAGATGCTGTACTTCGTTCGAATTTGTGTGTCGTTGAAAAGGACAAGACTTTTTGATGTTCTTGGTTTTTAGATACAGAGTATGCAAAAGTACTCTGCTCTGTGATTGAATTTGACTTTTCTCTGCCTATGGCTTATAGGGTTTTAAGGAGGAGTTGATGATATAAATAGAAGAATTGAAAATTTGCTAATTCAAGCAAACAAGATTAAAGAAATTTTGTAATTTTTTGTATATAAAAGACAATGTATACTTGAATTAAAAAAATGAACGCAAGTGCTTAGGTGGACACATTCAAATAAGTTGACCATAAAATGAATAATTTAAAATATTGGATAAAGGTATGATTTTAAATGTTGTCCTCTCTCATTTTACCTTTTAAAAAGAAGAAAATACGTTAAAGAGAAACTTATGTAGTGTTTCTATGTAATGAAAGGTTATAACGTGCATTGCTTGATTCAAATATAACCCCTATGGTCCAAAAGGGTGTTTATATTCGCTGGGACACTTAGGAATGCCTCTGAATCCAGTAAATTTTGAAGGATATTGTATGGTCTTCCCATTCATTAGTGGCGGATATTATAGGTGCTTCACTGATTTTGGTGTAAATTCTAAATGGTCAAACATGATCAAAATGGATGCTCACGGTCGATGATTGAATTTCTTAGGTATTATCTATAAATATATTATACAATTTGGTCAAAGCCAATGGGTGCTTCAGTACCCATACCTTTAAAGAGAGATCCGCCACTGCATTTATTATCCCAAATATTAAAACAAAGAAAAAAGGTAGGTGATAATAAACTAAAACTTCAGCACACCCCCCCCCCCCGAATCTCTCACACACTTGTCTAGCCTCTCACAAGTCATAGGTTTAACGCATTCAGTTGCATAGAATAAACTTAGCTGCG